GACTTCACGTTATTCTTCCACGGAGCTTATTTTTTATTGATATGATAATATTTTGATAATGAGCATATTATGTTAGCTCGCAAATGATTTCTAAATCTCTCTTCATTTTAAAAGAAAAAAAAAAAGAAAAAGAGAACGGTAGTCATCATTTGTAGGACAATGATGGATTTCATTCTTAGGAGAAATGAATAATGTTTTTTTTTTTTCTGATGCAACGTGATAGGATCAAAATAATAAGGGAAATTACAATGTATATAAACAATTTAATTTTAGGATTTTGAGAAAATAATTTACTGCCCTTAATACATATTATGTAAAACTTATAACCCTTTTACTAATTAAAAACTCCCTACTGCCCTTAATCCAAATTTTTCTTTAATATTTCTTTGTCCTTAAAAAAATCAACATTAAATTTAAAATTTATAGAATCATAAATTTCAAAATTCAATATAAATATTTTCTGAAACACGGAAAGTAATATAAATTTGTAATTTCCAACATAAATTATTTAATCTAAAATCGGTTTGTACTAATCTTTTTTTTTTTTTTGTGTGTGTTTTTCCCGTAAGCATGAGTATCCTAAGCCGGGCATATCATAATACTATCACTACTATACTAAGCCATTCGATCAGTGAAATATTTTCGAAAGTTTCTTAAATTTTTTTTAGTATATTTTTATCAATAAAGGAAAGAGTGATGCAAAATTGGATCGTAAAAAAATAAAATTAAACAGTATGATATCTAACCATATTTCTACATTAAAACTTTAAAATGAATTGATGAGTTTTCCAAAAGAATAAAATAACACTAATAATAATAAAAGAAAATAAAAGGAATTAGAACCCAACGGCTTACCTAAAATGGTCCAATCAAAATGCATTCACTTCAGTTTCCATCAAACTTTATTGAGTACATTAATTGTAGAATTTTTCTAGTCCATGTCACAATGTTACATTTTAAGATGCAATAACATTCTCTTGTCTAAACTTTTTGGATAAGGTTTGACGGATCAAAAACTTCAATGAAATCACCAAATAATGAGCTGTTGAGCCAAGACAAAAATAGACTTTTCTAACAAAGGGGAAAGAAATGAATATAACATTTCCTTTTTGGAAAAAATTTATTTATAATAATAATATAACCAATGAGTCAATTATTTTAAGACGGAAAAAATGTATTTACTAATTATAAGTATAAGAGTAAAAAGTAAATGGATGGAGAAAGTAGAAGATATCATCCAACTTGAGATCTCTTGCTCAGCTGCAAGATGTTGGTAGAACAATATATCACAGTTTTCTTTATCAATATGATTATATTCATGGTTGATGATTAAAACATGACAAATAATTTACTTATTTATTAATCGTAGTTCGAAATTTATATATATAACACATTTTTTATTTCCAAGTTATAGATTTTCTACATCGAACTAATTCCATATTTACATAGGACTTGGTTGTACATTCACTTGTGTTGATGTTTATATACTTAGAGCTATTAATATTTTTTTTTCTTGCCTAGTTATTCTTGCTTGTTATTTGCATTAATCTTTTCACTTTGAGCGAGAAAGGTTGATTTGCGATGTTCAGAGTTTAGAGCCGGGATTTATTACACGTAATAAATATAATTGAAATTTCAACACAAAAATTAGTTTAACGTTTTCCTTTTCTCTATACTTAATAATGATATATATATCTGATTAATTTATCTGTTTGGGGAAAAAAAAAAAACTCTCAAGAGGGATAATTTTTTGGATTGAAAATTTTCACATTTTAGTATAATGAGCAAGACAAGACTACAATTTAAAAGAAAATGCAAAATGCAAAAAACGACTTTTTAGTCGGGGCGAGGGGAGGGGAATATTTCACTTACGGATATATTAATATACAAAACTTAAGTTAGAAGTCCTTACAAAATAATAAGTTTATAAATGTGAAAAAAATCCTTTAAAGAAAAATAAAAAATAATCATCGAGAATTCAAAAGTTTAAGACAGCTAATTATATATCCGGACTGGGTTCACTGCGACAGCTAAAATCAATGTTTATTAGCTTTTTAACTATCGATCTCTTGTTGATGATTAATAGTACTTTTTTCGTCTTAAATAACGTCTAATTTAAATTTTTATTTTTTGGATAATCCCTTTTATTCTATTAAAGCAGAAGACATGAAACTTATGTGGCAACTACGTATGCATCTGTTTTGGCTCCAATGCACCATATTTCAGATTTCAAAAATCTTTTTGCCACGTGTAAGTCTCTTTTAATTAGAAGTTATATAATTTTTTTTTAAAAAAACACACATGTTTTACTACAAATAAAAATCAGTTACATTTCAAACGAATGGATATATTAATTCAAATTCAAATATTCAATCGTATAGTTTTGCAGGCTTAATATAAACAAAAAATAAAAATACCTAAATCCAGTAATTAAGAATAATGCCTTATAAACTAATTATTTATTATTCCGTTATAACCTCAGATTTATAGGTATATTTTTTAAGCCCCAAATCATAGCATAAATGATATATACGCCAAATTAATTCCTAAAAAAATAGTAATTCAATTAGATTTTAATAAAATAGTAATTTAGAACGGGCATCCGGATATCTGTCTGGGCCAAACATCTAGTATAATTTTAAGACAGAAGAAGGAGTACATGACAGAATGCTTAGACACACAAAATGCAAAATGTTGAAAACAAGAGGCAATTAGGCATAGTCCAAGGAATCTCCAACGGGAATGGGATTTGTGGGGATTTGGGAAGATGAAGACGACGAACTTGTATGTCTACTATTCCAACATGTGGGGACCTTAAAGCTCATCAATTCAAAGTCTCTGAAATTCCTGTCCATTTCTTTATCCTTTTTTTTTTTTATTTTTTTTCCCACAAAACAATATTTGAACAACAAAATTCCAAATATAAGCAGTTTACTAGTATTTATTTCTTCAGGAGAGTCTCTCTCCACGCCTCGAACAAGCATAAAATCCTTTTTTGAAAATTTTTTTTTATAGGCGTTAGAAAATGATGATATTTAAATACCCGACTTTTGAAATATATATATTAGGGATCAAGGGTTGCTTTATTGTAATTGTGGAATATCAATGTACATTTGTTCATTAGTAATTTAACTTATCTAAATTGTAAGTTTTTTTAATAATTAACTAGATGTTTGGCCCAGGCAGATGCCCGGGCGCCCCTTCTAAATAACTATTTTATTAAAATCTAATTGAATTACTATTTTTTGAGGAATTAATTTGGCGTATATATCATTTATGCTATGATTTGGGGTTTAAAAAAATATACCTATAAATCTGAGGTTATAAGGGAATAATAAATAATTAGTTTATACGGCATTATTCTTAATTGCCGGATTTAGGTATTTTTATTTTTTATTTATATTAAGCCTGCAAAACTATACGATTGGACATTTGAATTTGAATTAATATATCCATTCGTTTGAAATGTAACTGATCCTTATTTGTAGTAAAACATGTGTTTTTTTTAAAAAAAAATTATATAACTTCTAATTAAAAAAGACTTACACGTGGCAAAAAGACTCTTGAAATCTGAAATATGGTGCATTGGAACCAAAACAGATGCATACTTAATTGCCACATAAGTTTCATGTCTTTTGCTTTAATAGGGTAAAAGAGATGTAAAAACTAAAGAGTGAAAATTACTAGACACAATGAACAAGTTTTGGTTTTCATCTTCAATTATCCATACAAATGTTGTATAAGTTTTATTTTAAAATTTTCAGCATTTACGGGTGATCAAATTAAATACACTAATCTTTGTTTTAAAAAATAGTTTACATTAAATTTTGAGATTCGTACTAAAACAGTTTAAAATTCAAAACTTAATCTGAATTATGTTTTGGGACAGAGAGAGTTGTTTAGAAGGCATCTCTCAAATTGTTTCGCCCAATAAAATAACAATCGCATATATCTCAAATATTTCCATTATTTCACGAAATAGTCTAAATTTGAGATTCTTCCAAAGTACAATAACATAACATAATTTTCAAAAAGCAAGCATGAACTAAAAAAGTCTCTTTGACCCTATCAATTAACATGACCAATTCACAGTCTCCAACCTAATCATACTCAAATTTTACAAGATAAAATGGTAAACTAAATCAAGAGCAACACATTTGATAAGTAACTCAGAAGGGAGTTGAAAGAAGAAGGTACCTAACAGTTGTTTTTAATAATAAGTAGTGGATTGCTATCTATCTAATATAACTATCATTTCTATATCTTTACTCTTTTTGTTTTTTTTTTTTTTTAATGTTTTAAATTTAGGGGGTGGGGAAAAAAGAAATAGTCTTCCCATTGAAGTAAAGTTAGTTGAAAGGTGGCCAAACAAAGCTAATTGAGTGACAAAGTGGCCAACCTCTGCTATCACTATGTCCTATCCTCCCCACACCCACCATTTCACATTGATAAACTACCACTACCATAATCACATTAACATTAAAACATCAATAGTGTCTGTGTCAATAAAACAAAAAAGAAAAACATAATATGAACAACCCCCTCTTCTCATCATCAATGATCACAAAACATAGGCCAAAAGTAAAATTATAAAAACAGAAAAGTTGGAAGGGGAAGAAAAAAGTGGGAAAAATCCCTCTAAGGCAAAAAGAAAGAACCAGATTCTCTCCCAAGGCAAAAAGGGGGGAGAAACAGGAGGGAGTCCTACTTGTGTACTTATATTGGTTGTTAGTCCTTTAGCCCATCTTCATTTTTTTTTTTTTTTGGAACCAAAGAATTCTATTCTAAAAAGGTACTGGAGAAAAAGAAGCATGTTACTGTTGGGCAGCAAAGCTGAGGTTGGCTAAAAGAAAAGTTTCTTCTGAGGAGCAAGAATTACTCTAGAGAGAGAGAAAGGAAAAGGGTTGTTGTTGGTTTTGGTGTTTTAGACTGCTTTGAGATAATTGAATAGTTCTTTTTCAGTTTATGTTGCAGCTTTTTCTTCCTTCTGAAAGAGTTATGGAAGGTTGGAGAAAGCCATAAGGTAGAAATCATAAAGATCTTTTCTTGCTCTGTGTTTTTTTATGCTAGTTTAATTTGCATGATCTATTTGGGTTCTGTTGATTCTGTTTGCATGTAATCAAAAAGTAAGCTTTTCTCCTGATCTTTGATAATGGTGGGTGGCCTGAGTATCAGTTGTAGTTTTTTGGTAAGAATGTTTCTTAGTGATCAAAATTGTTGTTGGATATTCTATCTCATGTTCAATTGCTCATTTTGCTGTTCAAGCTAATTCTGTGGACTGAATTTTTGGCATCAAACTGATGAAATTGGAAACTACTGGTGCTGCTTCCTTTCCTTTCTCTGCGTGTATGTGTGTTACATTGAAGGTTCTGCTCTGGATTTTCCTCTGTTTGTTTTTTCCTGCTATAAAGTTTGTTGCTTTCTTCATTATTGAAGCTTCAAATCATGCGGATTTAGAGGAAATATGGATAATTTCCAAGTGGTCATAGGCAGTGATATATTGTTTTCAGTTTTGTTGTCCCCTGCGTTTGTTTGTGTTTGGACAGGTTTTGGCTTTATCTGTGTGTTCTTATGTGGGTTTTCAAGTTTTGGATTTTTCTGAAGAACATAGAAGGAATCATGGATATATATTATTATAATCTTTGATTGTATTCATAAAACGGTTTATAGAAGAAAGACCATACATCATCATATGAAGGAATTCCCTTCCCTTTTCTGATCCAATCATTTATCAGAGCTTCCTCACTTCTTAGCTTGCTGACTTTAGGATCTTTTTTCCTGAAATTCTTTGGACCTATTTTAGATTCAATCGTTTCATTTGTTCTGAAGAAATCCAAGCAGCATGATATTGTTATGTGTTGATTTGCAACTGAATTCGATGCCCTTCTGCTTGCTTTACGATTATAGAGGCTAATTTCTTCTGCTGAATATGAAAAAAATTGTCAAAAGGAAGAAAAGATGCATATGCCAACCATGTTTTTGCTGCTTTATAGGTGATTGTTTTTTCTTCCTCCAGCGGAATTCTGGAAATGCTTTATATGGAAAGTTATAATTTGCTGTTTATGATCCGAAAACCTCTATGAGGCTGCCAGCATTTAACTAAAGTATTGTCTCTGTTTCAGTGTGTTCAGAGGAGAGCACTGATGCTGGAAACATGGGAAAGAAAGGGAGTTGGTTTTCAGCCATCAAGAAGGTCTTTTCACCTAGCTCCAAGGAGAAGCCTTCTGATGTAAGTAGGCCTTTTCTAATGCAGTAGAGATACTGGTTTACTCTATCATGTTATGAAGCCAGAAGAACTAGTGAGCTAAGTTTGACAAATTACAATGTGGAATGTGAAACGGATTTACTATCATTATTGACTGCATGCTAAATCTTCATATAGTTTACACTGAGTCGATAAATTTGAAAATTTTGTACAAATTGAAGAGGAAACCACCTTCTATCCCGACTATAGAAGCCAAAATGAAGTCAAATTTTGTACTCATGCTTCATGAAAAGTTGAAATGAAAGAATGGTTTATGGTAGGGAAGAACTTATTTGGTAAGAATGGCATCATGTAAAATATCCGCTTATGTGAACTCAGAAATAGATGCAAAAAAAATAAAAAGGGTTAGAGAAAGTTCTTTGTTCAAATATTTAGAAGCATTTGGATTGCTGCAGGGATTAGAGAAGAAAAGTTCCAAGGAAAAGAAGAAGGGGAGAAGTAAATCCAGGTATGGAGAGAATAGACCATTTATTCCCCTCTTTAGGGAACCTAGTAGCATTGAGCAAATCCTTGGAGAGGCAGATCAACTATTCATTAGGCAGACTATGCCGTCCGAACGACCAATAACACCATCAACATTGCCTGTGAGGCCAGCTTCCCCACGAGTAACCTCACCTAAAGTTCCTTCTCCACGAGCGATCTCTCCTACAGTTACTTCACCGAAAATCGCTTCCCCCAGGGCTGCATCCCAAAGGGTAGCTTCACCACAGATCCCTCCTCCCCGTTCTGCATCTCCACAGATCCCTCCTCCCCGTACTGTTTCTCCACAGATCCCTCCTGCTCGTGTTGCTTCTCCTAGGGCTGCCTCTCCTGTGGTCTCTCAAAACCGTAAGCCAGCTGCTAAGTATGTCCAGAGGCCTGAACCTACACTACAAAATCTTCATCTTTCTGCCACCAAGATCCAGGCAGCTTATAGAGGTTACATGGTAAGTACATCAACTTGATCGAATCAGCTGTTATCCTGATTTTGGAATTTACATTCTGACATCATTCTCGAAAGTGGATATAAGTCGACTACATTCCTCATTGATGTATTTTTTTTTTGTTTTTGAAAATGTCATTGATGTATGTTATAGCTTTGAGAATCCAGAAAGGAATATGTGTAATGACATTTTTGAACATTTAAACACATGTTCAGATACCATTGCTCATGCATCATAGATTAGCTTCTGTTAGGGACATATCAAGACCTGAATTACTATATAGAGAATATAGATTTCCAAGTCAATAGCTCCAGAAACATGGTTAGTCCATGATAGTTATTCTTGTATTTAAATAGTGGAGATAGCTTTTAAAGAAAAATTTCTGGGTCTGTTTTACGTGTTTTTGGAATGAAAAAATTTAAGAGGGCCAGAGTAATCAGCCTAGAAAGTTGAGGATAATTATGAACTATGGGATGATTTCAGGCCCCTGATTGAAACACTTCACTATTCTGCTGTTGCACTTGCATGTACACAATCACAATATGCTAATACCAAATTTTAGTGACAATGGTCTTTCTGTCTCACCCATTTTGTACTTTTTCACAACCTGTGAACTGTAATATGAATGGCGTCACAATATTGTCTGACAGGCAAGGAGGAGTTTTAGGGCTTTGAGAGGGTTGGTGAGACTTCAAGGAGTGGTGAGAGGGCAGAATGTCAAACGACAAACAATGAATGCTATGAAACAGATGCAGCTTTTGGTCAGAGTACAAACTCAAATTCAGTCACGAAGGATTCAAATGCTCGAAAGTCAGGCACTGCAACGAGCTAATAAAAACGATAAGGAAGCAGAAAGTACACTAAGCAAATGGAACCAGGTATTTGTTTGCTAACCTGCAGACGCGCCCCCGACCCCGACGTTTCATTTCTGTTTCATCCGATTTTGGCAATGATCTGTTTCGGACTAACTTGTTTAAGTATGTAATACATAACCTCCCTCATTTGTTGCTGATAAAATGAGCTGATAGTTGTGCTCTCTCATCCTTTTGGGGACATACTTCTAGAATATCAACTGGATAATTAATTGATCTTAACGGATCTCTGGCCATATAGTTCTATTTTTATTGACATTCTGTTTCTTTCACCATATTTGACCATTAGAGTTGTTTTGTATCCAGTCTGAGGCAGGTGAGAATTGGGATGACAGTGTACTTACTAAAGAGGAAGTTGAAGGAAGGCTTCGAAAGAAAGTAGAAGCTGTAATCAAGAGAGAAAGAGCCATGGCATATGCCTACTCCCACCAGGTGCTGCCGACTTTCTTCTGTGCTTAATGCTTCATGGTTTGAATTTGCTTGGTAAAATTAACACCCTAGTCTTGATATATAGTTAGGGTCAATACCACAAAGACATATGGTTGATTTCTCCAGTTGCTGTCATTGTGTTATGTTCTTTAGTTTGCTCTTCTCCCCGTTCCAAGCTTATTTACTTCCAATTTTTACTGCGTTTACTATGGATCACCCGTATCCTTCCTGTTAGTTTTTTGGCAGGTTTCCCTCACTAGTAATTATTTTCCTTTCCTGTGGAAAATTCAGGACAGCTACAATTTTAGTCTATAGAACTAGGTTGTGACTGATGATGAATTGCATTTGCAATTCTGAGCATCATCAAGTTAATGTGCTCATTGCCTCTGGTATATCATAATTTGCAGCATTTAGGAACATGTACATGTACTTTCCAGAAAAATGTATTGTTCAGTTTAACAGCTGAAATCTCATCCTCAATCCGCTTCTTCTTATTTGCATCAGTTGTGGAAAGCCAATCCAAGGTCATCTCAACCAGTGGACATCAGATCAAATGGGTATCCCTGGTGGTGGAACTGGTTAGAGCGTCAGCTACCTCCAACAAATCCTTCAGAGAACCAATCTGCTGTCAAGAATGTTCAGCTTACACCTCCAAGGCCGACCTCAGATTATAAGCGAAGTCCACGACCTGTAGCAAACAACTACAGGCACCATAATTATGCTTTTGACAATCATGAATCGGTAACACCAAGGTCATCCAAATCAGCTGCACCAGTTAGAGGCAAGCAGTTTCACACTCCAAGTAGAACGCCACCTCCAAGCAGCTCAGGGATGATGAAATACAGTACACCAAGAGCAAGTGCAGCTCGTTCTCCTTTTGATGTTCCAATGAATGACACTGATAGTCTCACTAGCTGTCCACCATTTTCAGTTCCAAATTATATGACGCCGACTGTTTCAGCCAAAGCCAAAGTTAGAGCTAATAGCAACCCAAAGGAACGAGTTCCTGGTACTCCAGGGAATGACTCGAAAAGGAGGTTTTCGTTTCCATTGACTCCAAACATAGGTTCATTCAAGTGGAACAAAGGGTCAAACAAAGATTCTGCTGCTCAGAAGGCACTGGAGAAACACGAGTCCATGAGATCAATCGGAGATGTTAGTGTGGAATCAACAGTTTCTATGCCAGCTATAGTTGGGAGGAAGCCCTTTAACAGATTTGTGTGATTGATTTTCTTGTAAGTTCTTTGGTTGTTAACATTCATATTAACTTCTCTTTCTTGAGATTTATTTTTTCTTCACTCCTTTCTAAATTTCTACCAGTATGAGTGTATGGCGTGATGTTGTATCGATTACCGTATACTAGTGTACAAGAATTAAAAAAAAAAAAAAAAAAACATTAGAGTGTAAGTGGTTTGAATGTAGATGATTTTTGTTTTTTCTTTTTTGTTTCTAAAGGATTTGTGCTTTTGTCCTTTTATCCCTTTCACCAACAATGACAGTAAACACATTAAGAGCAAGATCGAAGGTGATTAAAATTTTCTACCTTTGCAAAGAAAATGCTGTAACTTCAAAGTGATAAGTGAATTCAAGGAAATGCTGCTTGTTGGACAGAGAGGGTGTACTGAATTCAAGAACAAGCAGAAACTGATAAGTGAAGTCTGCAACATACAAAAGTTCATTACACCTACATTCTGAGGCATTGAAAAATGCCCCTTTTTAGGTCTTTATCTCCCAAGTACTGTAATAATCAGCATGGTTTTTTTCATTAAAACATTAGACACTGCTCTTCACTGCAGAACCATATCCACTCTGTTCATCATGATATCGATCCCAAGCAAATGGAATAACCTGAGATATCAGAAATTGCTTCGGAACATAACAATCTCCAGCAGCCACCTTTGAAGCTGGAAGTCCAACGAAAAGCTTGCTTTTTGGAATAGAACCCGACCATCGATTCCATGCGCTCTTGAATCCCTCGCTACTGCCAATGCTGTACTCACAAGAAGGATTGTTGTAAAACTGGACCCAGAAATAATCAAACAAACCAGTACTCAGTGCAGCCCCTAGCTTCTCATCAGGGAAAATACACTGGTGCAGCACTTAAGTACACCTTTTTACCTGGTTGGCTATAACTAGACAATCTTCTAGCCAGTGCAGCATAATGAGGAACTCCCAGTTCAATATCAGAGTCTATACCATCCAAAACAGCCTCACCAAGTGGTCGGAAACTCGCATGGCCACCCAAGAAACTGTTACATAGATAATCAGCCACTTGTCAAGCATCATCGACCGATGATAAAGTATAGCCCCCCGGTGACACCCCCAATTGAGAGCATGACCTTGATTCCTCGGCTTTGACATAAGCAAATACTATTCGTTAACCTTTGACAACCGCCCGACGCCGGATCACAATGGCCAGCTAAATTCAGCTGAAGAGTCTGGCCGTTTCCAAAAGTCGACAGAAAGGCTATGTTCACAGTGTTATACAGTCCTGAGGAACATGTATCTCTCAACAAGCCTTCCCTCCTATCTTGACCCCAGTATACCACAAATTCGCCTGATTCTGTGATCAATACAAGGGAAAACAGCATAATGCTGATTAGCAAGACTAAAGAAGGGTAGCCTTTGATGTTCATTTTCTTTTTTTCTTCCTTAAAGTTTAGAAACTGAAAGTTTGGTTCTTATGATAAACAAGGCAATATGTTAGGCAGAGAGGGAGACAACATTATTGATTTGCTTTATTACTTTGTAGTAGTACAATGTGAAGCCATGCAGTCAACGTCGACCTAGACAAATTATGTTGACACCAATTATTTGTAGCCATTCAGGAATGATTGACTTGAAGTTACATAAATATCTATCTTTGTTCACATTCACTAGGATGATTAATTTTGTCACAGCTGGTTTGTGTGTATCGACTATAAAGCCAGAAGATGGTGTTTTTTAGGTTTAAATTTGAGAACATTGCAAAGCCTTTGAAAGTGAAAATGAAAGTGTGGATTACAATCAAAGTGAATGAAATGTGAGCTAGAAACTAAAAGGTTGTACCAACAAGAAGTTTACTTTCACTTGAATACAACTCTTACCTTAAAGCCTGGACATGGCAATAGAACAATTAATCAATTTCAAAAATTATTTCAGCAAGGAGGAAGAAGTAATTAACATCAAGTCCATTTTTTTTCCCCACAAATTATTACAACATTTTATATAGACTGAAATGTCCAAATGCAAGGGGAAAAAAAATGTCAATGCAAGGGAAACCAACATCTCGTGGATTCAAATTACAGAGGATATAGTTTTGAAGATAATATTTGAATCAACCATTGAGGCCTGATTGATTTGAAAGAAGTTACTTCTTGAATTCATCTTGGCCATGCTAGATAGGGTTAGGCACTTTTTCTAGGGTGGTTTCTGCAGAAGTTTATAGCCTATATAGACAGCTATAGTCTTTTCACTCCCAGTTTGAATCTGAAAGTATAAAGAATGTATCTATGAAAGTGAAAACAAAATGCTACTTACAAAATATATATTGAATGACTGGGTTGTGCATATAATTGTCTGCATAAGCAATGCCAAATTTTGAATACAGATCAATTTGCTCCTACTATCTGACACGAAATTATATCCTAACAAACACCAGATCAAATAATTTTCAACAATAAAGAAGGAAAATGAGAGCAGGATTTTGGATGCCCCAACAAAACAACTAGTGGACCAAGAAAAGAAAGCATCAGATTCTACAGTAGGATACATTTCCGGGAATCTAAAATACAGAATACGCACATCAATGAGTGCCTACTGAAAGGAAAAAAAAATACTTTAACATTCTCCTCTGCTTTTGTTCATCTTCAGTTTCTTTCAGTTAACTATCTCATCAATCAGATCTTCATAATGCCGTCACATATGCCGCACAGTCACCAGATCCCCTTATACCTACAAGTTCAGCTGAGTTTCAAACCAACTCAACTTTAGATGATGAAACAAGGAAAAAGAAACATGCATTAGACAAGGAAAGAAACTAAATAGAAGCATAGTTTGGAGTTTCATGAGTATAATCAAAAGAACAGCCCCACAGCCTGAACTCTTCTCGATGTTCAAGTTAAGAACTCAACTAAAATTTGTGCTCTTGATGAACTTTAAACATCTCCAAAAGAGAAATATTCCAAACAAAATCAAACTGAGAACTTTAATATAACTAGGACACTATTTAATCACAAATCTTTGTCTCTGTATTACAAACTATAGATAATGTTATATTGTAACGTAAAGTTTCTCAGAGTTAAATATTTGGTTACAGATCCCCGACACAAAGACCTATTATGGTGTAAAGTTGCTTTCCAAAAAAACAAATATTCAGATGCAAAGTCATGAGCGAGCTTTGAATTTGTAAGATCAAATTCCCTCCAATTGCAAACAAGCATCCTTTACAATAACTGAATTATAGATCGCACCGACTGACAGATCTTTAAAATAACAAGCAACAATGGCCCGTGCATCAAACGTAAAACTAGATAGTATAGGATCCTTATATGTTTATCCTTGTAAAACCCATACAGCTTGATAATGTCAATGCAAGTTAATTGGAAAATGGAAGTACATACCATTTGGAATAATTTTCATCACTTAGCCCTCTTAAGCAGTCCCTCAACCAAAATTTTCTGCTGCACTGCACTCAAAGACTCAGATTTCATGATTGCATTTGCAACCAGAACTATTTCAGCTGGGGATTCTGCATTTACCTAAAGCAATAATGATTCGTGAGATTTTGTATACATACAATTCATAGGAAAATTTTCGGACAAAATGAATAGAATAAAACATAATCATACCCAAACACGGCCATTTAAACCAACTGCTACCTCAAAAGATACCCTTTTCCCTAAACCCTCTAGTATCGGACATGTTGGAGTGCTTAACAACCTGCAACAAAGCTTCGGAATAAGCACCACAGCAAAAAGAAACTTTAAGGTGTTCAGTTGAGCACTGTGGGTAACTCTATGGCAGATAGGATATGGTCTTAGCCGTACATTCGTGATAAGCCAGTTGAAGATTCAAACATATAACCATCTTTAAGAGGGCCAAATCCTGAAGCTTTTCCAGAAGCTGTTGGACAAGAAAAAGTAAAATTTCCATTAAAGCTTTTTTCCAAATGCATGTATGTTAAGTTTGCTGCAATACGGGGGCTATTGATATACTAACCATCCATGCATGAAAGCTCAGGGTTCATGCCAATATTTGCCTTCACAACACGAACATAAATCAGTGTACCTGCCTGTACGTAACAAAAATTTCTCAACTCAGACGTTTTATAAATGGAATAATGTGCAAGTTTAAATATATATATATATATATATATATTTTCAATTCACATCAAAACACCACAAAGACACAAGAAGATTAAAGCAATATTAGCTGGATCATTTCGAAGTATCATATGTTATGTTACACATCGCTACTGTTGAACACACAAATTGCATCGGAAATAGTTCATTTTATTTTACCCATCACTGGGAATATCAATCATCCATCTGTACAAAATCTCAATGATCTGTACCTCATATTATTTAAAAAGGAGAATATCAACTTTCTAAAGTCAAATGCTGAAGAAACTGGACGAACAAGATGCAGAATTCCAAAGTAATGGGCTATCTACTCAGCCAAAATCACACACACAAAAAACTTTCCACTTCATGTAACATAACAAAGCAAAGTGAATGACCAAAAATTATGAGCTAATAGTAGCCACCAACTTTAATTTCCTTAATTTATGTTCACTGGTGATGTAAAAAAGGTTGTCAGGAAGCCTTCCCAATCTACAGGTAAAAGCTGCTGTTTTATATAATATGCTAAATAAGCATAAACTGGTGATGAGAATAACCAGTTAAAACCCAAGTTGAAACAAAAGAAAATATAAACAATATGTCTACCAACAGTGAAAGACAACCAAAAATTCAAATTGCACCTCAAATTTGGGAATGTTTCTCCTTGTTCCTCCTTCAAACGCAAGAACTGGTAAAAAAGCTACCGCTGATGCTTTAATGTCCACGAGAAAGTTCTACAAAAATAGTTACAAAAGAACATTAAACAATTAAACAGAGACCACATGAATGCCAATAAAATAAGTCGTGCAGGTAACCATATTCAACTACAAAAAGATCTCATTACACATGTGCTGCACAAGCATAATGAGGCACTAACAGATATAAAGAGAACTTACATCTGATCTAGTATCCACAACAATCCCAAGGACTGTATCTCCAGCGCAAGGGACATACTGCAAACATAAGTACAGTAAGTGCAATTCATCATGTTTTTTGTGGTAAGCATAAATCACAAAACAAATGTAAGTTTGACAAACAGGAAAAAGAAACATTAAATTCAAGAAGAAATTACACAAACAAAATAAAGAATCTAGAGTGCCTCCGATTATAAAGGAATAATTACTCATGATAAATGTTGAAGGGAAAGTTTCATGCCAAGAAAAGTAATCACTGATTAATTAAAAGCCCTGTAAAGAGATAGGGAAAACAGCAGAGGAAAGATTTTCCATTGATAGCTATGATCATTTTCTGTTACCTACATTTTCCCATGTACATTGAAGATATACAGAAACAGTAAATAGTTTGATGCCACCCCCATCAAACCAAAAACAGATATCTATAATATGATTTCCCGAGAATATGCTTAACTCCAAACCATACCATCAAATACACTATCATTTTTGTTCAAATATTCCATACCACAGGTATGATGCAAGAGGGTTAAAGCAATAGACTACAGTAGATGATGAAGGTTCAGTAACATTAATCGAATGCAAATCTTATACCAACTTTTGTTTACCATACATCTATCATTCATTCCCAAAATTTGTATCCTCAAGCTTATGGGAAAAGGAAGATGCACCTGGCTGAAATCTATGATACTGAAAAAGAATTTACGTGCTGCTCCCCGGAATAAGTTGAATTAATAAATAAAAGACAATCCATTAGACCCATTCACGTGGATCCCATCCTTTAGCAGCAATTGTATGAAGAAATAAAATTCACAAGGCTGAAATGTTTTTCCATTCATAGTGTATGTAAATTTGCAACCCTTCGAATATTTGCTTTGTGAGCAGATTACAAACACTCAAACGACAAAATGCTTTTATTTTCCACTACAACAAGAGGTCCCGAAAGCCCCAAACAACAATCAGCAAACCAAAGTATTTTAAACACTGATCTATATTGTTTATAACAAAAGCTTAAAAGCATTTCTTGATAACCTGCTATTCAATTTTGGGACCTCACCATAATGAGCAAGCCTAGGCAAATAGGCACAAAACAATAAAACTTTTCATGACCAAAATAAGGTATTCACTCCTATGCCTTAAACACCAACAGAGGACTTACGGCGGTTATTATAAATTTGTTTTACCCTGAACTTATGAACTTTCAGATACTTTTAGTTAGACAGAACCACATTTGCAACCCATTATTGCATTCATACAAGAAAATAATGCCATAACAATGTAAAAACGGTTCCTCAGACTGGAACCATTCGTTTTCTCAGTTTTGAAATCCAGTCATGGTTCAACAGAGCCCTCATGAAATTTGGCAACTAATTAAAAACTTAACGACAACTACAAGAACAATATACAATTCTCCAAATGTGTAGTATTGGAAGAAACGAACTTTCCAAGGCATAATCAAAACGGACAGATGTAAGCAATCAACTTACCCTCTTATGAGAGCTTTCAACCCAGTATTTATTAGGTTTTGAAAACCTAAGAATTCCCGCCTTTATCACTGCTACAGTATCACCATCCTGATAAGAATGAGGAAATCATCACTCCCTAATACTTTTGGCCAGGGATATATAAATCTCAAGGAAAACAATTTAAATGCTCTTCTGTACTACAAGATTTTCCCTTCCCCAAAACTCTCAGAATACAAACAAGCAAGCCTCAATCACCAGATAAAAATATCAAAAAGTATATTATCTCAATGATATCGAAAAGCCCCAATCAAACTAGATTATGAAGTATGAAGCAAATACTAGGTAACCTAAATTCCTCAGTAAACAACACGGTCAAATTTTACAAAAACTAATTCAAAAAAAAAAAAACCAGAGAAGTCTTTGGTCGCATTAGCTTCATGAGGAATAAGATTGCCATTTTGCAGAAAGAAGAAAATCAGAGACATTAATGATAATTATATTTCTCAAATATCCGAAAATTAGAGAAAAACTAATAAATCGCGTGTCCATAAACCCTACCTGACGGAGGCCACTTCCAAGCTTAATTGTCTGATTACTCATAGTCGAAAGATCCAATACTACATCTCCGGGAACCTGAAAACATGAAAACATCCAAAATTTGAACAGATTAAAACAGTCAAGCTTCAAACAGGACAAGAAAACACAAAAAATTTTGGGAAAAAAAAAACTAAGAACCAAAGAGAAGGATAAATTGACACTCACAACTTGTTGATCAATGAAATTTGAGGGCTTGGAATCCATTGGAGGCCTTCAAAACGGGAAGCGATAACAGATTCTGCGATTTGTGTCTGCGTGTTCTGTTCGGTGTGTTTGTGCGATGAGTTGAAGAATAGGGCGGGAGACGTGATGAATAGCCCTTTTAAGGTTATTTTGGTCAATGTGTAATTTTGTTTCCGTTGGCTTTTTGTTTTCTCCTTTTTTTTTTTTTGGTTCCCCACCTTCCGGTTTTTGGATTTCGGAGATATATATTTCGATTTTCATCCCAAAAATAAAGGTCAATGTAGTGATTTTGAGAAATTTTGGAAATTTTCTCACAATAAATTAGTTCTTGTTACAAAATTAATGATAAACTACTAATACAAACTAAGCATAAGAACAAGAGAGTAGAGAGATAAGAGACTTGTATTAAAATGTATTTTGAAGTATGAATGAGTTCCTTATTTTATATAAGAAGTAGGGGATCAAACTGTGGGAAATAAATCACCTATCATTAATGCTAAATATTACAGGATCATATCGCCTTGATTGTGAATAGAATAATACATATGAATTGTGAAAATTCAATCAATTCAAATCAAATATTTTATAACACTCCCCCTTTGAATGTCCATCTTTGCGGAATAATGGCTCGTTAAAACTTTACTATGAAAAACTCTTTGGGATAAAACCCTAGTGAAGGAAAAAGATTACACTTCTGAATGTGATGCTGTTTCGTTAAAAACCTTGTCATGAAAACCCATTGGGACAAAACCTCGATCAAAGGAAAAAGAGTACAACGTGGATTACTCCACTTGTTAAGTACGCCACTTGTAATCTTCTCGTTGCATGCCAAACTATTGACCAGATTCATGATTGTTTAAGTCAATAATAGAAAGATTACTTCGACTTCTCATGTAGACGGTTGTCTTCATATACATGTATAATCTTGCGTGTTTTATAATAATGGAGATGCATGACCATTATACCTTGAAGGTATCAATATACAACATCCAAGTCTTGACATATTGATTAGATAAATTGAAATTTTATATGGTACTTCATGACCAAATCGGTCTACATCATTAATAGAAAGTCAAGAAGAATGATCTATATGCACATCAAGATTTTAATCAAGTGCACTCAATGGGTATTGAATATACAAATGTCAAACTATTTAGACCGAGATTCTACTCAAGATCTTTCATTATCCTTGCTTCAGACAAGTAGCAACCTTTTGAACTTCCTTAGAAGTGTTTATAACTATTATATAACTCTTCAGGAATTTTATTTATATTCAGGCTATTCGAACTTCGCGATAAGTTTCGATAATATTTAGCCTTTTGAAACTCTACAAGAGTTTGTTACTAACCAAATTACAAAACATCTCAATAGTTTATCATGCGAATATAATCATATATGCTCAGAGAAAATAACAAGCAATCTCACAATAACAAGTAGGATATATCCAAACACATAAACAAGTGCATAAACAAGTATATCTATTATATTCAAAAATATGAACCTAAATATTAATCTAGACACATGAAGACACTAGAACTTGCACAAGTCTTTTGAATTAATTTTTCGAGAATAAGGACCATATCCCCTATTGAATTCTTCAAGGATTTCGTAAAAATATCATTTTCAAATGTCACGTATTAAGTATTAAGTCATCACTATATTAAAAAGACGTTTTTTTTCATATCTTCATTTACTGCTAGATACAATAAATATTGGAAGAATTTTATTTCCATCCACTATAAGAGAATATATCTTCTCATGATTAACATCCAGATTTTAAAAACTTGTGCAATAAGTTGGTTGCTCATTAACATTTTCCACAATCACCCAACAATATTTAGCCGGTGTATCACTAGCCAAAACTTATAGTCTTTCAAAGAGTTTTAATTCAACTTACACATTTCCGGGTGTGCTCATCGCGTCTTTTCATTTATTGTGACCAATAAGTTTAATGTCCTTACTCACAATAGACTTTCGTGATCCTCATTCATTTTACTAAATGTTACAGTATATGCAAACTTCATGTCGACATTTTATTGCTGATCGATTCTATGTTCTTTGATAATGAGATCTCATAATTATTAAGTTTCCCAAATATTCATATATTTCTTCTGAAAGTTAATTCACCGTAGTGAGAAACTATACCAGCTCAAAATTCTTATGAATTATAATCACTCGTATTTTGCATCTCTATAAATTTAAACGTTGTCATTTACGAGAATTTTTATCATTGTAATCAGTCGTTCTACCACTCATCAAATGGACATTCAATAATTTTGGTAGATGGTACTACAGGAACATTATTCAAGATTTGGAACTTGACAGCCTTTCGCATGTAACTCACTCACATGTTTTGGTCAGTTAAACATCTGATTTTAAAAATTATCTCTTGAACTTCAGGTTCATTTTATCGAGGACCATCATAAGATACCTATATTGTCCACCTGATTTATAAATAGACTGTTTTAACTTCCCCCCTCCCCCCTGATGTTGGGACAACTAACTTGCTAAAATGATAATTAACTAATTGAGCAGTTAATAATCTCCCTTTTGAGAGTAACTAACTCGTCAAACTAAGATCAATCTATCGGGTAGTTAATCCAACATCAATAATCTCAAACATTGGAGATTCAATATTCAACATAGATTTCTGACCTCTTGTGGAGGCTCCATTATTATGTGCATTGTGGTGGAATAATTATAATATATAAACTGTACATCTAATATTTAAAGATGTATATGTATTGTTTCTGACCGAAAACCAATGTTGGGAAGAATATCTATAATGACATGTTTGGTCTTATGCATATAATTGGTGCAGTTTATGTTTCAACACTTTCTCAATTATACATGAGATAATTACTTTAATTGAACACATGTAATAAACGCTTCTACTGGACCGCTTCATTGTTGCTCTTATAGGCACTCAATGTTCAACTTCTATCATTCTGGTATAGAGTCATATGCTCACAACAACTGTCAAATCAAAATTCTCGTAAGAGCATAACATGAAAATCGACAAGTTACCAAATTAACTCCATAATTAAGTTTCTGCAAACTTCAGGTTGCAAGTTAACAAGAATCATACATGTGGCTATCTCATCGACATATCGATTGATATTATAATTTATTGGTAGAAATTCTTGGTTCTCCAAATTTAAAACATATAAACTTTCTTGTTTCGTCTTGAAACTAGAATGGCTTAAGTAGTTATGCCAAATTTTACAATTTCTCTTCTGGAGAAAACAATGAATTAATTATTCAACTATACTAGAACAATTTCGTTCCACATGAGCGTTTACTCTGACAGAGTATTTACTATTCAGTTATTTTCATTCTACCATAGTGTTCTTAAAAATAAAGTATCGCTGCTCTGCTGAAGACAACAATGAATTTCAAATTCAAAATAGTTCTGTTAGTAGATCAATTTATATCATTCTTTTATATCTTGGAGAATATAATGTATTTTAATGCACTTTCTCCTTCTAATATTCTCTTGCTCTTTTAGGAGTAAAGTTTGTTTACTATTGCTTTTCCAAAGGCAATGATGAATTAATTATATTTTCTCTTCAAAAGCATTAATTTGTTTTCACTCTCCGGTGTAATTATACTCTACGGAAGTTTTCATCTATCTTTACAAAATAATTCAATGCCATATGCTCTACTGGAGCATTTAATTGATTTCGTGTTTATCATTGACTATGTGCCAGGCTTATTTTTGTCATTAACAAATTTAGATTTTATTTTCTTTGAAACATGTAGATAGAAAATGTCAACTAAATAGTATCATTACTATAGTAGCCAAAAGATCACAACACCTTCAGGGTGTTTGACATATTAGACATTTCCATCTCTAAATTAATTTTCACATCACCATCAGGATGTTTGACAAAGAAATCGACAATATCTAAAATAGTAAAGTCGTGGTTTACGAGACCATGGTCAACATCATCAGCATTGTTATAAATTATATCTGTCTCTATTTTCGTTTCTTCTTTCTTCATCGATTGCTAATAGAGATATGTAAGATGTTTTGCGTATGACATATACGCGACCAAGTGTTCGTTATACCATATCGAATGCTTTTTTTTCAAAGCCTTTCTTTTCTTTTCATCATTACTTCCCAACTTTTGGTTGGTATACGACCTCGAATTGATCATCATTCAATCTCTCACTTCAGGAGAAGAGTTGTATTTGCTATATAATTGCCGTATTATTGTTGTAGATTTAATGTCTACAATTTGTCGCAAAATAATTTATTGCCCACTCGCTTCAGGGAATGGAAAGAAATCGATTCATAAGATTTCACCAGATATTTCACTATAATGCTACTACTGGAGCAATTTAATATGGTAAATATATTATCATAACATTGCTACTTCAGGATCAACTTTATTTTTGTTATCATTAATCTTTCACTTCGGGTGAAAATATATCTCTATATAGTAATAGTTCACTTGCTTCGGGAAGTGAAAAATCTCAAAGTAAGGGTGACATTTTTTCACGAAACAATAATAGTATCTACAACAAAAATAAAATAAAAAACTAAAATATTTATTCTTGTCAACGTACATAACAAATCACTACAGCATAGAGACAATTTGCTTTTCAAATAATTTTCTTTTATAGGAAAAAAAATCTACAAATATAATTATGCTACAAAACCTTAATAACACCAACAATACGCAACATGTATTGAACCAATAGGTTATAATTATTTTAAAAGATTTAGATTGAACCAAAACAAGGAAACAAAAACTCTATTATTTATTTCCCCTATTTTCTTTTTACTCTTCCCAGAGGATAATATAAATAATATGCATCATAATATAATCATCGAATAAGGCATTGATATTAACAAGATTATATCATAACAAAACAGGTAATTTAGTTCATGGAATTAGAAATCAAAACAAAAGTAAAATAATGAAAAACCGTGGATGGGTTTTTGTCCAAGACTCGTTGACTAATAAAATCACACGTCACCTAGACATCTCAATTCAAAATCAAATAGTATGATTTCAACGTGCTGAATTTGTTTTCTCAATTTTGAATTAACAATCCTAAACCGAGATCTTGAAGTGACTTGAAGTCATGACGCTTCAGGCGCTTCGGGTCACAAATTTTTTTTAAAATATTCACTGAGGCTTCATGCCTTTAGAATCAATACGCACCAACTTCA